TACTAAACAAATAAGTTGTGTCAACACTAAACTACATAGATCATCCTGCATTTTCTCATGAAAGAAAAATGACCTGTGACCACTTAATGTACAATGCAAACTGAAAAGCATTTCATAGCACAGAGTACACTTAATTCAGAATAAAAAACATTTCGGGGAATAAAATACATGTCAGAATCACACAGGCATGAGACAAATATTGTTTTCAGGCTGGGTCTGAGATCTGTACCAGTTTAAGTGATCTTGGCCCTTCAGGAGTCTTTATAGTAAATTGGTCCCTCATCCTCTGCTAAACTGTGACTTTAAGAACTTGAATCAATAATTAAGTCTATCATCCCAATGGTATCTGGAAAAGAGGCTTAATTTTCTGCAAGGGGAATGGAAACACTGCTGACTTCCTAGCAGGGTAACAAATCAATGACGCAGCAATGGGCAGCTGAAAGCAGATTAAAAACAATCTCTTAATCCTTAATATATGCACAAATTGAAGTGGAATCATTGTGACCTGAGTAGTTTCCATATTCTAGAGAGTTTATGCTCATTTTATGTATGCAGCTCTGAATGATTAGAGAACAAACTTTAGCTATGTTCATCAATAAAAAACGACCCCAGGCTACAAAATTCAGATCCAAAATGTGAACCTCATTAGCTCATGGTGTACAGACCTAGGATTTTGGTTCTGTAATATATATAAGGAATGGTAAATTATTACAAATTATATATGTATGTGTATGTTTGCTTATCTTCTAATTCCCATATTTAAAGGTTCTGATTTGATTGTTATTAGGGTTTACCAAAACATTCTATCAGCTATCCATCCACCCGTAGACCTTATAGACAAAATTACAGGCACTCCCATTGTTCATCACTTGCATTGAACCTTATTAAGCTGTACTGAACAATCTAAGGTGAACTTTTGCAAGAAAAATGTATCTGCTTTGAGCAACTGAAACATTTTATTATTTGTAAATGAAAGCTTGGACTTAAATTATTGGAGAAATAATTTTTAAACTGGAGGTATGTGTGGCACTCTGTACCTTAAAGCAGCACCCTGGAACCCCCATATTCACCACTGTCACATAATGATATGTTTTGTACAAAGTATGCCTTGTGAGGTATCATTTTAAAATTCTTGATTTGTTAAGTTTTAATATCCTGTTGGATTGTATGTGCTATCATTGTATGTGAAGTCATGACGTTTGCGCTGTGTGTGTTACTGAAATGTTTGAGGTTGGGAACACCCACAACCAGCCTTTTAGGTACAACAATGGAGTAGTCAGATGTGCTCATGGTCCATTAAAGGGAATCCACACTCCTAACAACCATCCCAGAAGACTTCTCAGAGAGATTCATAGATTCATAGATTCATAGATTCTAGGACTGGAAGGGACCTCGAGAGGTCATCGAGTCCAGTCCCCTGCCCGCATGGCAGGACCAAATACTGTCTAGACCATCCCTGATAGACATTTATCTAATCTACTCTTAAATATCTCCAGAGATGGAGATTCCACAACCTCCCTAGGCAATTTATTCCAGTGTTTAACCACCCTGACAGTTAGGAACTTTTTCCTAATGTCCAACCTACACCTCCCTTGCTGCAGTTTAAGCCCATTGCTTCTTGATCTATCCTCAGAGGCTAAGGTGAACAAGTTTTCTCCCTCCTCCTTATGACACCCTTTTAGATACCTGAAAACTGCTATCATGTCCCCTCTCAGTCTTCTCTTTTCCAAACTAAACAAACCCAATTCTTTCAGCCTTCCTTCATAGGTCATGTTCTCAAGACCTTTAATCATTCTTGTTGCTCTTCTCTGGACCCTTTCCAATTTCTCCACATCTTTCTTGAAATGCGGTGCCCAGAACTGGACACAATACTCCAGCTGAGGCCTAACCAGAGCAGAGTAGAGCGGAAGAATGACTTCTCGTGTCTTGCTCACAACACACCTGTTAATACATCCCAGAATCATGTTTGCTTTTTTTGCAACAACATCACACTGTTGACTCATATTTAGCTTGTGGTCCACTATAACCCCTAGATCCCTTTCTGCCGTACTCCTTCCTAGACAGTCTCTTCCCATTCTGTATGTGTGAAACTGATTTTTTCTTCCTAAGTGGAGCACTTTGCATTTGTCTTTGTTAAACTTCATCCTGTTTAACTCAGACCATTTCTCCAATTTGTCCAGATCATTTTGAATTATGACCCTGTCCTCCAAAGCAGTTGCAATCCCTCCCAGTTTGGTATCATCCGCAAACTTAATAAGCGTACTTTCTATGCCAATATCTAAGTCGTTAATGAAGATATTGAACAGAGCCGGTCCCAAAACAGACCCCTGCGGAACCCCATTCGTTATGCCTTTCCAGCAGGATTGGGAACCATTAATAACAACTCTCTGAGTACGGTTATCCAGCCAGTTATGCACCCACTTTATAGTAGCCCCATCTAAATTGTATTTGCCCAGTTTGTCGATAAGAATATCATGCGAGACCATATCAAATGCCTTACTAAAGTCTAGGTATACCACATCCACAGCTTCTCCCTTATCCACAAGACTCGTTATCCTATCGAAGAAAGCTATCAGATTGGTTTGACATGATTTGTTCTTTACAAATCCATGCTGGCTGTTCCCTATCACCTTACTACCTTCCAAGTGTTTGCAGATGATTTCCTTAATTACTTGCTCCATTATCTTCCCTGGCACAGAAGTTAAACTAACTGGTCTGTAATTTCCTGGGTTGTTTTTATTTCCCTTTTTATAGATGGGCACTATATTTGCCCTTTTCCAGTCTTCTGGAATCTCTCCCGTCTCCCATGATTTTCCAAAGATAATAGCTAGAGGCTCAGATACCTCCTCTATTAGCTCCTTGAGTATTCTAGGATGCATTTCATCAGGCCCTGGTGACTTGCAGGCATCTAACTTTTCTAAGTGATTTTTAACTTGTTCTTTTTTTATTTTATCTGCTAAACCTACCCCCTTTCCATTAGCATTCACTATGTTAGGCATTCCTTCAGACTTCTAGAAGACCGAAACGAAGAAGTCATTAAGCATCTCTGCCATTTCCAAGTTAGATCATAGACTATGGAGGATGCTTGACCAATGGGGGTGGATCTCCATGTTACAAGCACAGATCTTTCCAGCAAGCTGGAAGAAACTATCAAGAGAAGTGACATTATGACTTGGCCTCACACTCCCCACAACTCAACACCTGGAAACATGTCTGGAGGACAAAGACTTTGAACAGGGGAGGGTGGTCCTGGGCTGGAGGAGAGTTCAAGCCTGAGTACTGAAGATCTGTGACCTGTTTATACTATCAGCGTGAGACACTGCTCGATTCAAATCCTGTTTAGTTTACAGAACTCAGATAGCAAATTTACTTTTATTTCTTAGGTAACCAACCTTGATCTCTATACTTATTACTTATAAATCACTTGAAATCTCTCTTTCTGTAGTTTATACATTTGTTTTATATTTTACCTAAAAACAGTGTGTTTTTGTTGAAGTGCATGGGAAATCTCAGCTCAAGATAAAAGATGGTGTGTGTCCTCTCCAATTCGAGGAAGGGTCAGGCTGGGTAATGAACTTAAACTGGTCAGACTTCTGTCCAGGGCAAGGTAGTACAGTTCTGGGGTGCAAGGCTGGGGAGCTGGGGGGAATTGGCTGGAGCCTTCTATTGTCGGTTCATGAGTGGTTAGGAGAAGCATTCCTGCAACTCAGTTGGGTGTGTCCCTGCCTGTGGATGTCTGCGTAAGTGCAGTACCTGCCAGAGGCTTGTAGCTTGCCAACAGCATCACAGTTTAAGAGGGAGCCCAGGTTGGTGGGACAGAGGACTCAGCAGTCCCACAGTCCAAGTTGCAACCTGGGAAAACCCCTCACACTATGTCAAAGGCCAGAACCTGAAATCTAATACTCCTGGGGATTTTTGGATACGTTTAGATTGGAAACCCTGGATCTGAGCCTAGCCTTACAGTTTTGGTTCTTGGTCAAATCCAAAATGAGAAGGGGTCTGGTTTCTAGTTTCTAGTGAGATATACAGCCAATCTCATAAGACTTCAACACAATGTGTTGCCAGTCTTGCAAAACCAGCTCATTTCATGGAGATGTCTAGTATCTGCCTCCTCTGACCCTGACAAGCACAACTCTTTACTTCAAACCACATATTCTCACAACCATCATCTTATTTAAATTAATTATCCTAAGAAAGTGAAAAAAACATAATGCTCCCAAACTTCTGAAGTGGAAAATAGAATGGGCAGCTGCACTCTGAGTGTAGAAAACCGTCCTACCAAAGAGAAGCATCTCAGACCTGCTCTCCAAAGCCTGGGAAATTTTACAAGACAACCCTCTTGAATGATCACTATGTGAAACAGGCTCCCCAGACTTTTTGGTCCACTTGTTCTGCACTTGGTCCTCCACTACAAGTTTCACTCTGCATAAACTACTATCATAATTTTCAGTGCCAAACATTTTCCTTTGGTTTTGCTTACTTCTTTATCAACTATCACCTCTCATAATGGGAGAGGCATCATTACATGCTAAAAAGACAGTTCACATATCTCATGAAATAATTTTAGTTTTTGTTTTGTTTTGAGGCTGACTGTCCCTCAAACATCCCCAATTTGCTCCATAAACACACAGCATGAGTGAATTTGTTAGTGTCATTGTCCCTCACCTGTTAATGTGTCTCTCTTGAGGCTTATTTAAAGCATACATGTTTTATTAAAAAGAGATTTCTTCAAAATGAGAGCAAAATCCCAAGAGAAGAGCTTGATACTTTGACACCCTTAAATCTGAACTCAAACCCTAGCCCCAAATCTTCAACGTTTCATGCATGTCTATCATCTTAGTACATTCTCTAAGCCACAAATTCTAGCCTAAATGTAATCCAGATCTGAACACTGCTTCTCTGACCCATCTCTAACAGAGTTTATTGACCAGCAATACAGTTGATTTATAACCAAGCATGTACTAGAGACAGTTATAGGTTTCAAAAAGAAAGGGCCTTACCTTGAGAAACAAGGCCCCCTTGGAAGCCAAGGAGTCCGTTCCTTTTCCATTGGGGTAACAGTGATAGGCAGCATCCATAATTGGGTAACGGCTGGCAAAAAGCAGGCCACTGTTAACAAACTTAAAGCTACAGCAGCCATGGCAGCCATAGACCCCAACATCATATAGAATGTATTCAAAATAGTGATGGAGCTGCTGTTTCAACTTCTCTGCTGCTCTTTTGTCAAACACTTCCTGCAAGCACAGGAAGTCCAAGTTGGCAGGGAAGAAAGCAGAGATCTCATGGTCAAAGATTTCATCCATATGCTTCTTTTTCCTCACAGAGGTCTTCTTCATGACCGAGGCTTTGTAAAGGAGCTTGTTGTTGATGTTACTTTGGTCCACCGTGCCATCTCCAATGCGAACCTTAACCAGGGACTCTCGCGAGGCAGTGTAGCTGTCTAAACTCCCAGAATCTCCTTCTTTCTGTTTATGGTTGGGTATTTGACCCTTTGGACTCTCTCTTTCACCTTCCAAGGAGTGTTCTGCTGGGCTACTGATATTAGCCTGGCCACTAATGGCATCCGCTTCTGGGTCTGAAATGTGGCCATTATCCTCCCCACTTATGCGCACGATACATGTGTTGTTGTCCTCTCCCTCATTTAGTTCCACTCCAGCTTTAGCATCTCTGCTATCCTCACTGTTATTTGAGCCAGAATTGTCTCCCTTGTACTCCATAGATGATGTCCTTTTGATGCCTACATTGACAGCACGATTAGTGCTATCTCCAACTTGGGGAGAGACCAAGCTGCTGAAACTGGCTGCACTGATGGATGTGTTAGTGGGGGAATCTATATATATTTTTATCTGTGGTCTGCTTGCCCCATTTCTGATTCTCCGCCCAATTTCTCTAGCCCGTGCCTGTGTGTTGAACACATTGTTAAATCTTGCCAGAGAGTCTGGTAGCAGACAAACATTGGCACTACCAAAGCAGAAGCTTTTCCCATTGCCTGTAGCTTTCCATTCAGTAAGTAGTGTAGCGCCATTGGCCTGGCTCTTGTCTCCTAGCCTGGAGTAGATATATGGCCTTCTAGCTGACTGGAGAGGTGACCATAACAAGAAGCCAATCAGGGCAAAAGGAAGAGATGCCACCAGCAGTGCCAAGTAGATGGGAGTGGTAATAATGATGCAGAGTGCTTGAAAGTAGCACGGATCATCTGCCCTTTGTCGTTTCTCATAGGTGGTAGGAACAAAGGAGGCCACAAGCCTGTCTGCAAACCAATAACATGGGAAAATCAGGCCCCAGGAAAAGGAATGCAGAACTGATAGAAAGCTGTTGGGAAATGGGGAAGTGTATAAAACCATTGCAACTCAGTTATGACAACACTTCAGGGACTACTACATGATGTCACTGTCAACCGTCCATCAGAACACTGGGGTGGAGGTCAGGGAAAAATCGTCCAGCCAACAGTTTAGGTTTCCAAGTGTAGTAAACACTTATCACCTTAAGAGCACCATTTCACTTTGTCAAGTAAGAGGGAAACAAGGCCACTGTCTCTCTGTCTTTTTGGCACCTATATTCTTCAGAGGAGGTCATTGCTCACTGCAAGGTACCATAATGAATCTCAGATGGGGCAGATGAAAAACCTGTAGAGACAAAAAAGTAAAAATATACTTAATTTTTACTCAAGGTTTGAAGCATGTTTTTCCCACACTCATACCACTTTTTCTTCTAAGTCAATGGTTATTTTCCTTTTGGTTGTTGTCATTTCAGTTTACATGGTAATCTGACTGTCTGCTAAACATTGGGTGATATCTTCTTTCAGCTATTTGATGTAAATCTGCAGTAACTCTATTCACTTGTACCTCTGAATCTGGCCCATTCAATGCAAATTACCTTAAGGTTGCCATGAAAATTATAACACTGAATTCTCTGCTCTTGCAAATTTAAAGTCTTAACCTGAGTACTACATTAGCAGTGTTTTTGAATTTTATAATCTCTCTCTCTTTGAAGGCTGCACTGTTATTTAAATCAAATATATCTACATCTCATCAAATTCTATTTGCCAGTTATTTGTAGGTAGTTCTAAAACAGTATCATATTTAGCATCTTATCACTTAAGTTAATCAGTCTTGGAGTGACATAAAAGTCCTTGGATGAACAAGAAAAGATTTATGTGATGTGGGTTTGAAGGCAAAGGCATATTGTGATAAAGGGCTGAGAACAATCTGATGCTTGTTTACCAAAACAAAAAAGTCTTAGCTATGCTGTTCTCTAAAACTTGCATTAGGGTAGCAACAATTATGGCAACTCCACTCTGCTCAAACCTAGAAACAGGGGAGTTAACCAACAGGTGGACAGCAGTGAAGACAGGAAAAGGTAGGTAATCAGTATAGCCATGATAAAGGAGCATGAAATAAGAGAGTAAGTGTGAATAAAAGGATTTTATATTCTTCATCTTAGGCTAAATAAATTTAAATCAGTGTCTTTGTCAACACTGCGAGTAAGACTATGTAGTGACAACTGTTTATTAATTTTTGGAATAAAATTCCCTTCTAGAATTGCTTTCTATAATTCTAAAACCTAGAATTTCTACAGTATTAAGCCATGCTGACTAAAGGCATAGCTACCAAATGAGAAAGAGCGGGGATATAGTGAGCTATGCTACAATGTTCATCTTTTTCCTTTCATACTTGGGGAGGGGACAAGATGAGGATTGCAAGAGAATACGGTCACAGTCAATATTTGGGGCTGGATCCACTGATGACTACTTGGGCACTGACAGTGAATTTAAGTGGTTTAGTGCCTATTTAGGTCTTATAAGGGCCAGAAACTAATGGGCATTTCTATTAAATGTGTTATAGCAAGAAAAACAACTATATAGCAAGAATAAGTCTAGCTATTGAGAGAGTGAACATGTACAGAAGCTTGGGTTAGACACTGCACTGATATATTATTAGCGGAAAAAACACAGTTCCTCAATTTTCTTTCACTATGTAAATTTTCCTCCCTTTGGGCCAAGCTCTTAGTATTGATTTATGTTGTCACTGCTAACACATTTCTTTGCTATGCTTAACATGAAGTACCAGACTGCAGCCTCAAAGTCTCCTGTACAGGTCAACAGTAATTAAAAAAAAAAAAAAAAGGCAGTTATCATTTGTGGTTTCAATAGTTCTCCCTCTTTCCCAGCCATGTTATCTGTTTAAAAGGGATGAGAAATTCTTCCCTAGTTCTAGGTTTTCTTTCCATTGTGATAAAGCCTTCACATCATATTTCTACAATTGAAGACTTGAAACCAATGATCATTAAGGTGAACTGGAATTCTTCTCTTTCCACACAAAACTATCATTGGCAATGAGCCTGTTTTGTTCTGGAAAGTGCAAACAAAAATCTACATTACCCAGTCATTAGGCTGATTTTTTTTCTATATGACAATGCCTTGTAAAATCTGACCACCACATTAAAGAGGAAATTTAAGTTCCTCCCCAAAATTACATTTCAGCCCCACTCCTTCTTCCACGCAGGTAAAAAGCTGAACTTCCATTGACTTCAGTGATAGTACAGGAGGATCTGAACCTTTACTAAGGATGTGGAACATTCCCTATTATTTTAATTAAAAAATGGATGTCTAGAGTGCTTGGTTTGGAGGATGCGATAAGATTCACTTTTGCAAATCTTGGTCTGATCCTTCTCTGGAGCAAAGAGCTTAGAAGTCTATGCATCAGATCTGAATCTGTTTCTAGATTCCTTGGGACCACAGGTTAAAGTTTCAGCATCAGCTCAGTTGTTCAACCTTTTAAGGAAGATGAACTGAGTTTTTGGACAGTTTTTACTGTGTGGAGGTCAGATGGATGAGACTTCAAGTCAATCCCTATTCAGAAATGCACTTAAGCACATGCTTAAGCTCCTATTGACTTAAATGGGACTTCACCACATGCTTAAATGCTTTGCTGAATAAGATGCCTGAAAGCTGAAGTTCTTGTCTGTTTTATGTGACCAGTAAAGATCCCATGAGAGTGTTCATAAAAGCAGGGGTGCCCTTCAACCAAAATTCCATCAGCTTGAATCTCCTCTCATTTACACTAGTGGAATAACTATTTAAGTCAATGGTAATACATCAGCAAAAAAATAGTGTAGAGAGGAAAATCTGGCTCACCATCAATGCTCCACACAAGTACAGATATAGCGACACTAGAAAGAGGGTTCAAATGAAAAATTAAAAGGAGTCCCTTTCCCTAAATAGCTGACACCAAGTCCTCAATTTGAGAAGAGTCATATTCTCCCCATCACTCAAAAGCTAACCACACCCTTTGCTAATGTCAGGAGGCCGTTATTCACTGGAGTTTCAGTGAGCCCTACAAGTCTCTCAGTTCTCTGGGCCGATGGAACTGCTCCAGCCTCTCAGAGTCTGACTGAGAAGTGTCAATTTTTTTTTAAATCAGCTCAACACATTTTTTCATAATATCATAAACAACAAAATCAGTTACTCAGTTTAAAGAAAAGTCTTATTTTTCAAGTGTCAAGCAACTGATTTACTATTTACCATCTAACTGTTGTTGGGACTTTGGGGAGGTACTGATGGAGAAAAACTAATAAATTTGCTCTCCTGAATTTTTCCAAAAGATTTTAGGGCTTTTAAAATAATGTAATGAGACAACACAGAAAGGAGTCTTTCCAGTCTGGCATGTACAAATCAAAGTAACTTAAACCCCATCCAATTATGTAATTATTCAGTAGACAAGAAGATGTGTGAAGAACCCTCTCTAATCTACTGGGTACTTAAAATGTTTTTTTTTTAAATCCCTGCCTAATTACATAATTACCCAGTAGGCCTGAAAGACTCTAATCTGCAACAGTCTCCTGGGTAAATAACACACAATTGTTTGGGGCATGGGAAGAGAGGGTGGAACATGGATTTATATTCCAGTTTTCTGTCTAATGATATGTAAGATTTTGGTGGGACTGATTCTGTTCTACACTAGAAGCTCAATTTGAATTTAATATTTCCTCTCTTTTCTACCTCTTTAAAAATACCATACCAAACAAATAGAACTATGAGAGAGACATCATAATTTATCAGATCAATTTTCCTTGGACAAAAGCATCCTTAAATAGATCATGGTAGATCCAATGGCTCCCAGGGGGACATATGATTCCTGGTGTCAGTTTTGTAAATAATATAGTCAACACCTACTGGATGATAGGACACACAAAAGCTAACTGGAGTAGGCCTTCACACACTCAATGCAAGTCTCTTATGGACTTAAGGGTCAATAAACTGCATATTAAGTATTCTTCAAGTGAACCATAATATGATCAATGAAAATGGCTTCAGAGTCGATTATACAAGCATAAAGAACTCTTGCCTTCAAACCATGATCTCAATATGCTATTTAAAAAAAAAAAGAGATTTGTACAAAAATATTGTTGACTATGACTTCTGATGGCAAAAGCAAATAAATTCAGAGGTAGGGTTGACACTGTTTTAGTAACATTTAGCAAGAATGTAGAACTTTGTAAACAATAAGGGCCGCGGCAGCACAAGTCCTACCTATTGCACACAAACATACAGAAGGACAGGGAACAAACTAGCCCTAACTAAAAATACCTCTCACAATATCCCTGAGGCAGTAAAATATCCCCATTTTACAGAAACAAAGAGAGAAGTTAAGTGATTTCCCTGTCAGATAATCAGTGGCAGAGCCAGGAACAGATCCCAGATCTCTGACTTTCCTGTACCTTAGCCACCAGAACACGTCTCCCCCGCATCACCTCCAAGTGGCACAAAGAGCAAATGAACAAACGGAACAAAAGAGAGGAAGAAATGTGAAATTTGTGCCACTCCAGCTCTCTGTGATGCTAAGAAGGAAAGGGCTCTGTATGTGTCAGCAGCAGTTTGTGGGTTTGAAAACATGAACAATGACATCAGTAATATTTCTCCTAGAGCAGTGGTTTAAATGGAACCTGAGGCTAAGTGCATAATTCCTCATGTTGAAGGATATTACTTGGTAATCCAATGCTTTATTCACAGGGGTTGGAGGGATTAAGGGAGAACTGAAGATCGTGCAATGAAACGTATTCTTATAGCATACAGAAGGTAAACAGCAGTTGTCTTTAGTTGTTTACTAAATGTTTGACGTCTTAAAAAAAGAACTTAATTTATTTTTTAAACCTGCTGGTGTGGAAGTTCTTGGTTGAAGTGATAGCAAGGCATCTGGTTAAAAGATTTCAACTAAAGATTTTTAGAATTAGTATTTTCTGTTATCTAGAGTGCCCCCAAAAGTGCACTAAAGAGAAGGTGAGGTAATATCTTTTATTGGACCAACTTCTCTTGGTGAGAGACACAAGCTCTAGTGGTTCCTTGGATTGTTTATTTGTATGTTTTATTAATTTAACAATAGATGCACCTATTAAAAAATAAAATAAAAATTCCCTATCTACTTGCACAGTGATTTGATGAAGAGTTAGGAGCTTCAGAAAATTTTACTCTAAGTGATTTGGGAACATAAGTCCCATTTTCAAAAGCACCTAAGTGACTTAGAAGGTTACATCAAATTGGGCTTACAGTGAGTTTAGTCTCCGAACTGCCTTTTTTGAAAATGGGACTTAAGCTACTGAACTAAATGGTCCACTGGTTTGATCCACT